GATGTCACTTACTCACAAATATTTGAGAGGGAGCTTCCGATAAAAATTCGGCTCGAGAGAGGAGTTCACTGTATTTCGACCAGAGAAAAAATCTCAAAAGTTTTCTAAAGTAGGAGTCTTCACCTCTCTGAATTTAAATTCTACTAACATTTTATTTTATTCTTTTATTACATTACAGGTGTGAGCGTTAGTTTACGCTTTAAACACCTCAAGCTTTTATTACGTTACAGGTGTGAGCGTTAGTTTACGTTTTAAACACCTAAAGCCCACGTCCTTTAGTGGACGTGGCAAGAGCAAGGAAACACAAAGCTTTTAAACGAAAAGCTTTGAAAAGTAGCGATGGTCCCTAAACACCATCATGTTCAAACAAATCATCATGTATTAAAAGTTTATTTTCTTTTTTTTTTTGAAAGTTTAGGATTGTTACAAAACCAATTCTGGTTAACCGTTTTAGGGAATTGTATTGAAAATCACAATAGCGAATAGAAGTTCGGTGTCATGTTTAAATAACAAATACCTCAATAGAATGGGCCTAGTCCATGTCTATTTCATAATATGAGTTTTATAACAATAGTAACCAGTGTTTTAAAACTCCGAATAGTGGGGCAAGTCATTCACCCACATCCATGTTGGATCGTCAATCTGACGACCCAAATCGGGTTTAGATTAGTTTAAATTAGTGGTACAGGAAAATATTAAAAATAAATAAAATAAGACAAAAATTAAAATAGGGGTTTATAAGGAGGGGATTAAGAGGGACCTAAAAACATAAAATAAGCTTAAAAAGAAAAAAAAGTTGTTTTTTTGTTTTTATTTTTGTAGGGGGGGGGGATCAATTCCCATCTTGATTGATGATCCGGATAAAAAATCACTGGGTTTTAAAACACCACTAATAACTATTATAAATTGAAATCGGTGTTTAAACATAAATCTGAAATTGGAGGGGAAAACAAAAAAACTGGAAAGTAACAAAAAAAAGCATTGACAAGTATAGAGAATTGTCTGAAAGTTATATTATCTTATTTTAAGATAAGAGTGGTTATTTTCATTATTTGTGAAAGTAATTATTGTTATTTTGAGTACGATTTAATTACATGAATTATATGGCCGTTATTTCCATAGTGTTAACCATTTTCTAAAGCAGGGGAGTAGTACCTTTGAGAAATCAAAGTACTCTTTGTATGGGCACCTTCCAAGCACGGTCCCGGCAGAGGTGGCGGCATACAGCCCGACGGTGAAGAAGTCTTCATCAGGCTCACGAGTTGTTGGGAGGCAACAACCTTTCTTCGATTGTGCACAATATGATCCTGGCCACTGCAACAACCAAATCACGTAAACCTTATTAGATCCCATCTTTCCGAGAAACATGTCAATTGCACAATATGATCCTGGCCACTGCAACAACCAAATTCACCTAAACCTTATTACATCCCATCATTCTGAGAAACATGTCAAATTTTAGTATAAAGAGGTTATAATCACTCTCAAATTTTAAATTGGGTGGTTCTAAATATGTCATTACTTAGACTCAAAGTTTAATAAAACAGAAAAAAAAAATATTCACCAACATTCGGATAATAGTATCTTGTTATACAATCTTTTGAAAAAAAATTACAAACCAAAGAGTAAAGAAGAAGGCAAAATTTG